ACTGCAATAACCGAGGCTGTACTACTCATGTGGTACACACACAGCTTCGCTGTGTACGCACTGCTTCTCTGTGCGACTGTGCATCCTGGGAATGTACTGTATAGTACTACGTAGCCACAGATGTACAGTAGTATATATAGGGGACCTCTGTACCCCCAATCTACAGTTCAGTTCACTCGAACATCTCCTCTCATCGCTCTAACAAGCCTCTTACAACCAACAACCCTTCTAGGTGAGTTGCAGGCTATCCGCTGTCGTTGCCACCCGTGGGAGAGGCCTTCGCCCCCCGGGTTCAACACGGGTGACTTGTCAGCCGGCTTATTGCCTGTGAATTACGAAAGCGTCACCGAGGACGACTGCCCAAAAGCAGGTTCCTGCGAAATGTGGTGAATATGAGGATCGACGCATGCCTTTTTATGGAGCGTGAAACCATCGGCTCACCATCGCGGTACAAGGTGGTCATGAGAATGCTCATGCGCGAATTATGATCGGCTATGTCAAAGAAGCCGATGAGCAAGCGCACACGAAGGAAGCACTAAGCGTACCAAATGAGACATCATCCAAGTAGCGCTTCAACAGTGTCAACAGGACCACCACTACAACAGATTTCAGCTTTGCCGCCGACGCTTCATAACCACGCTACTGACCCAGCTCTGCATAGATCATGTATACGTTCGCTGGCCAGACATCAAAGTCATTGATTGCAGGCATACACCCAAGGATTCGGACCGTCTGTGCATCATCCCCGACTGTTCCTAGAGTGAGATGTGCGAATACGCTTCATGCAGGCAAGCCTTACACGATTTGAGGTTGACGCGGAGCATGTCATACGCGACATAAAAAGCATGAGGCTAGTCGGGGTGTAGCCATGTGAGGACATAGCACCTATCGAGGAAAACAGAATATTACTTACTGTCATCAGAGCGGCCGCGAAGATCATGAAATAGAGGATATGCCGGTCGCCACCCCAGAGAGCATATGTTCGAACGAGTAGGATGACTGCATCAATATCACGGTACTTATCACTTAGCCCTGCTGACACATGGAGTCTTGCGTATCTGACTCACATTCGGAACACAGCACGCCGACGATCAACCAGTCTATGCAAAGCTATGTTAGTCGAGAAGCGTCAATATCACGCATATCACCTCACAGTTTAACAGCTGGAACTGCAGCGCGCACGCCTACGGTGGTAAGTCAATACTGGACCACAGCTGATCATGTTGCGAACCGACATCAGCGTCATGAGACATTATATCAACTGCACAGGCTTCAGTGCAGAAATGCAATGCCGGTAAACTCGACGCACCTTGGACCAATAAGGCTATGTCCACGAAAGGAGAATACTTATTGAAGAGATATAAAATCTTTATGAGGCCCCAGTCCGATGGCCACACATATGCCATCTATCGAGACATTACTCCTTAACTCTGACTCGGGCAATAAATGGCGGCATACCTCATCAGGGAGCGTGGCAATGGCCTCGAGCACCTATAACCCGTTGAGCGGTTTCAGAACTCTGGGAAGTCAACTCTACTAACGTAGCATGTGATCACGCTGACTGGATACAATATTTCAGAAGATGAAAGCACAACCCGGTTGGAGGCTTACTCTGTATGTACTGCGGATCCGTGATGTTAGTAGATCTGGCACTAAGAGAATGCTATCCGAACGGTCGCACCTTATGTATTTGATATAGGTTAAGATCACCTGCTTGCGCAATAAGTTGAGCGAGGAGGATGGAGTGCGGAATCGCCATGGTGGTGTGCGAGTAACAAGCAGTCGCGCGACTCACATTATACCGCTACAGAGGCTGATCCGCCCTGGAGAGCTGTGGAGGGACTGAAAGCCGCGGAGATCTAAGAATGCGCGAACCATGGCATGTTACCCATGCTAAGAACTTGGACTGCCTGGAAAGACCTTCTTCCTCTTTAGATTCGCCACAAAAGGTTAGTAGTTCATCGTTTCTGAGAGGTCTCTGCGCAAAGCAGGGCATATGTAGCATGCATAGCCACATGTGACACTGTCAGCGATCGGCACTATATTCTAACCAATGTGTTTTCTGCTGCTGGACGGAAATCGCCACACTTCAGTTGAGAAGTTGAAAACTGACAGGTCGTCGACTATCGGAGAACGCGGTGTGCTCACCGAGACAGCTGCATGACTATGTCAAAGAGTCACATGTTATCGCAAATGGAAACCGACCCCAAAGATGGTGTCGGCCGCCAATGGAACCGAGGTGAGATTGCCCCATCTCGGGTCGGGAAGATATGCAGTGGATACCTGTTCACCTGGTCAAAGCGTATGTCCTTTTGATGTGACATCTCACCGCTGTCTTGAGCGAAGTACTTGTGTTATAGTAAGTCATGTCCCTCGTTGTTCGAAGCAATGAGCAGTGAAGGAGAATTGACGAGATGGTGGTGGCACGAGACAGAGAAGCGCGGAACTGACGTCTGCAAAAGGTAATTCAAGCGCCCGTGACCAACGCGGTCCAGCCTGTCTCCAGTAACGAGAACGTCACACTACCACCCCTTGCGAACACGGGCACCCGTCCTGTCGCTGGCTCTGGCGGTCATGCCACTCATTAGTAGTACCGCTCAGAATTGGCTGGATCTCGGAGCCGCCCGTATCTCGTACCTCCGGATTTTGAGTTACGTCCCCCAAGACGCCGTGCATTCGTTACAACTTCGTCATGTCTCATGACCAACAGGACGCGCGCAATCGCACTCGCGGTCGTCGCGCGCACCTCCTTGTCCAATAGAAGGAGCTTGCTCCATAACAGCAGCTTCGCGAGAGCACCCAAGATTTGCGTTCACTAGCCGGACAACTCTGTGAGCCTTGCGCGATGTCTCAGCGCGCACATTTCGCGAAGCGGGTTGTCATTTTTCAACACCATTGTCATACACCTGAGGGTGCTCTCAATTGCATTCTGAGAGTCCGATATCCGCGACGACGTTTATGAGTAAGCCTCTCTGAAATTGTGGAGTACGCGCGACTTGTGCCACGTCCCCGTTGTGCGCTAGAGTCGCCGAGATGGGAGGCATAAATGAATTATATCATGAAACTCCAGCGGTAGTCCGCCTTAGGCTACTGACTTGATATAGCGCCTTGCAGCAATTTTATATATAGCTAGGCTCGAGGAGACCGACGGCTTCTGGAAGAGATATACTCCCAATGCAAGCACACGCGTTGCGGCGGTTGGCGATGGTCAGCGTGACGCACCAGTAACGGATGCACGGCGTCTTGGGGAACGTGACTCAAAATCCGGAGGTACGAGATACGGGCGGCTCCGAGATCCAGCCAATTCTGAGCGGTACTAGTGTGTCGGTGGATGCCTTCCTAGTCCTTGCTGCCTGCATACTCACCCCGACCTTCCTCGTGTTCCGTCGGCAGCCCCAGTCTACCCGTCTCTCGCTGGACAATGCTCTTTCAGCGGTCCTCATCCTGCACTCGCTGTTTATACTCTACACCGTTCTCGTAAGATGGCCACCGAACATCTTTCAACGCCTCAAAATACCCTTGACTGCCCCTTCGGAGACTATCCGTGCCGTCCTCCTGCAACGCGCCGGTCTACCCCAAGACGCGACCCTCCCTTGTCCGCTGGGCTCGCTTCTAACGCGTCTCTCGTCTTTCGATACGCGTACTCACTACGTTAGGTCGCTCTCCGCCCATTCCTTCGCTGAACGCGCGTTAACATGGCTGTTCCTGTCGCAGATTCGGCCAATCGGTCATACAGGACTGCGAGCACTGCACCACCTTCGATGAGTACGCCATCTTCGCCGCGCCCCGCATGGCCCTCGGATACATCATGGAGTGCGCCGTTGCAGGACTTATGACGATAAGCGGGAGCGGCCACGAGAGGTGGCGGACGTATGCCGTAGGCGCCATCGTCGGTGCGTTTATCCTCGAGGGCTATTGGCTCGCCACGACGCCTATTCGTAGACCGCACGACGGCATGAATGTAATCATGGTGAGTCTCGCATTTGTCGCTTCAACGTGCGCGCTGCGTCATGCGTGGACACTGCTCGGGGCATCTTGCTCCCTGGCGGGCTGTGCGGGGACGCCGTCAAGCCACGAAGGGAGCAAGGCTGCGCCCACGCAGATTTGTTTCTAACCCTTACCGAGGACGTCCACGGATCTTTGGTGTGCCTCAAGAATGGTCTGGCTGCGGGGTGTCGTCGCCTCCATGCGTGTCATGTAATATTACGCCCGCGCATTTTAGGGTAGGAACGAGGAACGTCGCTCTCGCTCCCCGCCTCACACACTCCGAGCGGATCGACTCTCACATGCGTCTCCCGTCATACCACACCCTTGCCCACACTAACCATCCATCCCACAGTGGCACGATAACCTCTGGCTCGCGCGACACGCATTCTTTCCTCTCCTCCCGCTGCTCATCCGCCTCCTCCCCCGCGCGCCGCTCCACCCGACCCCAGTCCCCACGCAGGCGTGATGAAGTCGCGGTATCCACGGATTCATCAAGTGGGGCGATTCACATGACGGAAGCTTCGCCCAAATATCAACAGTCACTCCAGGTTTTGATGGCGCGAGTTAGCATGAGCTGCCCTAATCCCATATCGAAGATGTGTTCAAGGGAGGGCATGCATACCTCGCACACGACTTGGACGACACGGACAGGTAAGACTGTCGCCGCTGAACTGGTCAGATGAGTAGAGCTGAAGGGGAACCGTACTGCTGTGAAGCAACGCTGTCAAGTCAGCTGGGCAGTCACGGTTGCGCAGAGAATCGAACGGCGTGAGTGTTCATCTGCTCAGAGACTGTCAAGACATCTGGATCTGATGCGTATGCAGTGTAGCAGTGCTGACTGGGCCTGAGAGTGGAGAACGAAGGATTACCGCCGGACGCTTCAAGTTGAAGTCCTGTGCCCTTGGGGTGATTCGGGCGACGCTTGAGGAGGATGGGGCGGAGCCTCACTGAGATCACAGTAGACCAGCGCTTCAGATAAGTACACAAGCCAGTGTTGCCCGTACTTGCTGAAGGAATCGGAAGGATTGGACTCCTCGGACTCGGATGTGTCCTGGCATCGCAACCGGCGGAACAGATTCGTCACTCCTCACGTGCGCGCGTGACACGCCTGAGCGACGTGGACTTCGTGCCGCCAGTGCCATCGCTGCTCATCTCCCGGTTGATTCTCCCTTGGCTGTTGACGATATCCAGAAAGCTCTCCAACGTGCTTTCTACTCCTCTGTCGTAATCGGCCCTTGTGCCACCCCAAAATCCCCTCTCATACGCTAGAGGCCTCAGGCAACGGTTTTTGTGGGATTGAACCCCCCTGCGGCATGCTATGCTACATGGAAGATCTCCAGGTCAAGCGGCTCAACGAAGATGGATTTTGGGTATGTGTTCGCGCAGATCCCTCATACAGCTCTCAATGAGCAAGGAGCTCGGTAGGCCAGCTCGCGACTGTCCATCTCTGTGACGCACACCATGTGACCGATGCAGCAGTATGTCTGCTCCTGATGCTCTCTCTGTGCGCCATCCTGCACTTCGGGGGACCCATATCAACGTCCCGTTGACGCGAAGATCGAGCCATGCAGCGATATGGCGATTTTGGTGAGTGCACACCTACGCGTCGTTCTGCGTACTGTATACTGCGACCTTCGTCCGTTTTACACACATACCTCTTTATCTGGAGTCTGCTTAAGCATAGTGATCATGCACCGTCAGTCGCGGTTGCTCACGCTATCTCTGCAGACCTCAACCTCGACCTCTACACCACGGCCCGGGACCTGCCTAACCTCGCGAACGTGCTTACCAGTTTGCGACTCTGATGATGACGACGCGTTCGTTGATTGAGGACAACGGCCTAGTACAGTACTTCAAGACTCCCGCCATCGAGGTACGTCTCCCCTACCTGACAAACGATTCAGGTCGTCTGCTCCTGTCGCGGTTGACTCAGGCCCGCTCTATCTCTGATAGGAACGCGAGCCTATGCTCTCTACCTCACGCATAGACGAAGTGACCGGGTGCATCGAAGTCCTTCCCCATCCGGCGTCCCATCCGCGTTCGCAAACCCCGGTCTCCGAACGTTCGAGCACCCACACGCTGATGCTATCTGCCGTGGATCTCGTATGGGGGTCGCGCGCGACCGGCTAGCACATATAAGAGCGATGGATCAACACCTGGGACGTTGGGACGTGTGCAAGAGAAAGCAGGAGAGGAGGGAGGAATGTGGTCCAGGAAGGGGCAAGGACGTGGAGGATGCGTGGGATGCGAGACAGGACCCGAAAGGCGATGGTGGAGGCTCATGGATCGCAGCGATCAGTACGTTCTCATCGATTTGTCAGTTTTGTGGGCTAATTGAATCCCTAGTGCGCCGGAGAGACCGCGATGGCAGTGTTGCGAATGGTCGTCCTCCAGCCCGCACGCCGATGCTTATGATCGTGGAGGCAACAGCCTTGGCATTTCCGGAGCCCAGCCGGAGGGCACATAATGCTCGTTTCCCCTACAATGTCATTGACCCAGGTTCGTGCTCGCTGCGCCTCCATCGCCGCCACTGGCTCTGCCGTTTCAGCCAAGGCTACCCCCGCTCCGACCGCGCGCATTCGCTATGGCGGAGAATGTAGTGGTCAGTACAGTGCTTTGGACATGCCACTCCTCACCCAGCCTGCGCCCGCACACCCGATCTACGACTCGTATCCCCCTGTACAGTGCCTGCGCAGAATGCGGTGTCGTGTGCTGCCCTTCCGCCTGCCGGGAAACATCATCCGACTCATCACCATCTGGCAGCGTCTCGCGCATACAATATTTATCAGTGATGCCATTCCTGTTAAGCGCCCTCCTGCTCGTGGTGTGGAAGTGGCCTCCTCGGCGTCGCTCCCTAAGGCGTCGGGCGCTCTATGCTTGCGGGGACGTTGGGAAGTACCTCTTACAGAGATGGAGGAAGGGCAAGTGTCGGTGCGTACAGAGCAGTCGAGTGGTGCATTGAGCACATATGCAGGTGACGCCCTCGAGATCGGGCATTCGGATGTTTGGCGAAGGCAAGGCCTTGCGACACGCAGTTCCCGTCGCGGAGGGTGCGAGTCGGACGAAGCTAGTAGATTCAAATTGGTACATTCCAGTAGACAGTTTCATTTGTCATTTCAGCGCCAGCCGTATTCAAGATAGAATCTACTGAGAGGCATGAAACAAATGCGAGCGTCTAGACGCGCGCGGCTAAATCCCTCACATGGCGCCGTAAGTACGTGATGGACGAGGTCGCCGAGTTCAGCTTCTCTTAGAGTCTAGGTGCACAGAACTTGTCTGAAGAACCTTCTATCGCTATCGCTGCATCCCTTGTCTGATGAGTCAACCTCCAAAAGCCTGCCGTGTCCCATTGGGCTGACATCAAGGTTCTTCCCGTTGGGATCCCGCTGAGTGCGGTTGCGATTCCAAGTGTTCAATTTCAAATGTTTTACCACGGCCGCCTCGAGGCGATGGCACGTCAACTTCGCACACGCAGTACAAAAAATTTCTCAACATGTACAGCTTGGCACTCACTGTTGTTTGCTCTTCAGGCTCCAATACCGCTTGGTTGCGTCGGCATATCCTACTGACCCCTTTCCGCCAGTCGACTTCCCGAGGTTATGGTATCCCGCGAAGCCCAACGTTCTAGGTGAATTATTGCGTGCAGTTTCAACACAGCATATAGCCCACCGGTAATTACTCCCTGCTTCGCCGATGGACAGCCATTGAGGGATGATGGACTCAAATTCTAGGGCACCTTCCGAATTCCGGCCCAGAAGGGGCAGTACGCTTTGGTGCGCTGCTGACTTGATGGAGAGAGAGAGAATAACGGCATGTTGGAGAGCAATATGCGGCCTTGGCCCTTGTGCCGAACTATACATGTGTTGCTGCGGTCATCCACAGTGGTGCTTCCTAGTCGGAGATACCTCTCCAGGCTCGACCTCATCATATAGCCTCTATCAGTAGAGTTTACGTCAAGGCTCATACAAATATGCTACAGCCTGGAAAGCATCAAGAAGACACCAGGGAACGCGCCCCATTATCCGTGTACGTCTCCTCTGTGAGGCGGATCACTCGCTGTCGTCAAGCTATGGCGAATTCTTGGATCAGAACCTGCGATCAGCGCCGCAAGTGTCTGTGCATTCAACCAGTAAGTACACCTTCTGTCATACAGTTGATGCAGGAACGGTACTGATTTGACAAAGTTTGATTCCATAAGATAGAAGCTGGGCCTGAGAGCGCTCTTGGCGATGCTGAAACGAAGCCGTCAAGAGCGTTGTCTTCCGCTCGCTGCTTTGGGGGTAGAGTAAGGGATCTGTATTGGTACTCGTGCTTTAAGGGTGAGAATCCCATGCAGATCGCAGTTCAAGGGGCACAGCGACGTGTATCTGTTGCGCTAACGCAGTGTGAGTACACTGCGTACACTTCCGATGTATCCGGCTGCCTGGACATACCATATATAGCCCCCACAGAGCCCCGAGCGATGATGCTCCTTCGTGCATGGTAGAGTTTACTCGAGCGTCCTAGCTGAACCAGTCATCTGAGCAGTTCTACATCTCCCTTTCATTACAAACGCACCATCACAGTAACGTAACATGGATCCTGATTCTGCAGAAGTTCAGGCCGCTATAACTGCGGCGAGGTCTGTCTCCCCCCATATCCGGCGTTCTCAGTCTTGACCCAAATTCCAGCGCACAAACGCTCGTCAACTACATCGGAGTTTCTGCTTTGGGTACGCTATCCATGAAACTCTCCGAACGCCATGCATCTCACTAGAGTATACAATGGTCGTTCCTAGTCCTATTCGCATATGACTACCTGATCACATTGCACAGTGAAGTGGTGCTATTTTGGATGCCTCGCCGCTTCAATGGAGCCTCGATTTTGTTTGCACTCAACCGATACCTCACTATGATGGTACAGATCCTAGGCCTTGTTCCTCTTCCTTCGTCCTTTCAGGTACGTCGCACCAAGAAAAGTCTGCCTAATGATACTCAATATTTGAGCAGGGGTATAGTCATCCAATTCAGCATACATCGCCGGGCAGATATACTGACACGATCTCAGAGCTGTGTCCGACTCCACTGCTTTCCTTGTCCTGGGTCCTTTGCAGTACCTTTCGTGGGCTGGTATGTGAGCCGCTCTGTCTCGTTCTGATAAGCTGTGAACGCAATAGCTTTTTCATACAGCATTTTCGGCACTCAGAACATATGCACTGTGTGCAACGCGATACAGGCTTGTGATATCAATAGCCGTGTTCGCACTTTCTTCCGTTCCGCTCATCATCAACATGATTGTGCGTACTAGACGGCAGATTCCCAAAGATAGGGATCCTTGTACTCATTCAAGGGGGCGGCACCGCGGGTGACGCGGCGAGCAAAGGGTGACGCGGCGGGCAAGGGCGGGACAGGACTGGGAAGATGTTGGTATCAGCACGTGCAAGGGGCTTGGGAGGTTTGATACCTCCCTGGCCCGATATCCCAGAGGTTTACATACCTCGTTGTAGTCTCTACATTCAACTCCTTTCCCCAGTAAAATCTACATTTCGTGTCCTGGAAGAATGATCCAGTACTTGGCTTTGAAGTGGTCAATAGCCTATCAAAGAGTACCAACATAAAGTGAGCGAGCGTCCAACTTCAGCTTTTATTAGTCCTTCTGACTCCGCGAGACGAAGACGTAGGTAAGCATTTGGCTTCGTTACTCAGGTTACCGATGTATCTGTTATCGTGCTCGCAATGTACAGTGGTTTTGGTGTCACGCCTTTCCCTGATCGGAGCAGACCTATTCGTCCTGTGCGTCACTTGGTATAAAACACGTGAAACGGTTAGAATATCCCGGACACATATGCATCGCAAGACCAGAACATTCGCAGGATGTCTTCTCCGTGATGGTGCGTATTGATACTCCACTACGTTTCGATTCTTGACACTCAGATACTCCGTATCTTCAACACCATAGGCACAATTTATTTCTTGTGAGCTCGACGCACAATGCATAGTCACCCAACGGGACTAACGCTCCATTCGTAGGACGCTGCTCACGCTCAGCGTCCTTCACGTTGCATTCACTCTCACCTCGGTATGCTAACAGCGGCAGATCATGATATTGTCTCTCATAACCTTCTTCTCAAATCTGGAAGGTCGCCGAGCATGGGTTCTATGATACAACAAGCATCATAGTTCAATTAGAGGAACCGTACGAGTTTATGTCATATAATTGGAGAATGTGCGCTGAGGGATTCTATGTAGTCTGACCTCAGTCCTCACAGCAAGGTTTCTCATCGACCTGCAGAAAGTCCAAAAGAGACTTGGAGATCCTTCACTGTCAATGTCCTCTATCTCCGATCTCGCGGTTCAGCCTAGTGTGTCAAGAGACATCAATGACTTTATGACAGCCTTCGGAGGGCAAATTGCGTTCTATGAAGAGGATGGCGAACAGGTGGAGGAAAGCAATTTGGCACGTTTAGAGTAGCTGTGAACATAGGCTTCCATGTTCCGAATCAATCGGAGTCATAGCCTGAAACACATGTAGCAACACCCTGTTTCGCGGATACGCTGGCCACTTGTCCGATATAGATAATCCTTTGTCACACAACGACTCTTGGCAGTCTCTAAATGGTCCTACGACATGACCATCCGGTCGCCCGACAACCCCGGGGCGCGACCACCATGGCTATTCGACTTGGCGAACGAAACTACCAACGTGTTGCACATCAAGGCTGAGAGATATACGTTCATTTGTTCCCGGTCGAGGCCAGTATCATATCTATACAGGATATCACAAATCACCGAAGATACACAGTACTTCTAACGTATTGTATGGGAGATGCAGCTCAAGTACTTACAGCCAGCATGACGCCCACAGATTTACCAAGAAATGTAAGCCTCGCATTTTAAGGTTCAGTCCGTCTCCATGAACTCCCGATCCACATTTGCCTCAGCTTCTAGATCTTCGCCTTCCTGCAGACGTTCCATAAACGCGTTCATCTCGAAGGCCGCGGCCTCCCTGATGTCCTCTGCGTAATCGCCTTCCGTCTTCACAGGCGCGTTCACATCCCAAGTAGGAGGTGCTCCACGCCATCCGCGGTGCAAGTGGATATAGTTCATGAAACCGCGCCAGAGCGGATCGATGGAGAGCACTGTCGGGTCACCGACGACGATGAGCAACGCCTGTGCACGGGTGACAGCCACTATAGAACAGAGGATTCGTAAGTCTACGGTCAGCATAAAAGCACTGAGGTCGCATACCGTTGAATCGGCGCGGGTTTGACACGAACCCGAGCGTGAACTTGGCGTCATATGTAAGCAGCTCGGTGCTACTCCTGACTGTGGACATCAGGATGACTGGGCGTTCCTAGCGGCGCTTCAACACAAACAGCCAGTCGTAGCAACGATCAGCAAGACGTACCTGGCCCTGTATGTTCTCCACACTCGTCACCATGACACCCTGAATGCCAGATTCACGCAAAAGCTTGCGGATCTTTAGTACTTGGGCATGGTACTGAGTCACCACAGCAATGTCAACAGGCCCTGTTGAAGAGTAGACAAACCGTGATAAGCCATCTCCAGACACAGTGTTAGGGAGATAATACTACTCACGGACAGGGTATCGTGTGTCACCAAGTATCGCCTGGATGTAAGCCTTTACCTGCGAGGCCTCATCGATATTGAAGTAAGATGGCGATGACGCCTCGCGCTCGTTCGTCCCAGAAATGGCATGGAAGACGACTGGGAATTGAGGAGAGACAAGCTGAGGCGACCCGAGGAACTGGTTGATCTTCGCGGGCGGGCCACAGACCTCCAGTTCACCGTCGTAAAATTGCTCATTGGGGTAGCGCAGAATCGCGCCATGCGACCTGTAGTTCTTAACGAGTTTCGTATACCTGGACATAGGTCAGAATCACAGAACCAAGCTATAATGCGAGCACGTACGACGTCCCACGGCTGTTCGGACCATTGTAGAGCGGCATCTCAATGAGACGTTCCAGATAACTCTTTGCTAAACCTAGCTCGCGTGCGATGCTCGATCGTATGACAGGCCCGAGCTGCTTGGGATCTCCTGCAAGTATGACAATGGTATTCTTACCGGCCATGGCCTTGATTGCGGTGAGGACCTCGGGCTCAGAAGCTTGACCAGCCTCGTCGACGATGATGTGGGTGTAGTGTCCTTGAGGAATGCCTACGTTGTGCGCGAAGGAAGCGTTGCCACAGGTCGATATCGTGAGCCTGTAGTCCATCAGCTGCTGACGCGAGGGGACAGCGTAGTGATCGCCAGCATAGTGCGTATAGGGTAGGAGGGCTGCCGGGACAGACGCGGGGTCACGCGAGGCGGCATTGCATCGGGTCATCTCAGCGGGGGAGAAGACGGTGAGTCGCTCTGCGAGTATATCGGCCGCACTATTGCTGGGAGCACATGCGAGGATCCTTGCACGAGGCTGGAGATGCAAGATCTGGCGTATCGCTTCTACCACAGTGACCGTCTTCCCAGTTCCTGGGCTGAGGAGACAATATCGTCAGCAAATTGACGGTTATTAGGCAAGAGCATCACTCACGGGCCGAAAATTACGAAAGGCGCCATTCCCGGTCGCAACTTGACAATCGACTTGACAGCTTGCAGCTGGGCAGGATTGTTGGTTATGAGGTTGTTAAAGAGCGCGAGAGGGGATTCCGTGACAGTCAGCGGGCGAGAAAGGCCAGCTTGAGTTGCGTCGGGGAAGAGCAGCCGCTGGTTAGCCGGAGTCGCGACACACAAAGCTTGATGCTGTCGCCGGACTGGTGTACGATTAAGTTGGAAGAATACGTTGTATCGCTTGCCCATATGATTAAATGACCTGTGGAAGCTGACACGAATGTCATTCTGTCGAACGGTATGCACGAATCCCTCGTGCGTGCGATCAGCCTCGGTGTTCGCTTCTTGTACAAGGATGGTGTCGCCTACATGAAAGTCATGAGAAGTGGCCTGTAGAGTGTTGGTAGACGTTCTTACCGACGACAACACTGGGTCGCTTTTCGGAGAGACCGTCGACACGAACCCTGACTAACAATTAGAGATCATGTCATGCGACACCAGTGCGAACAACATACGTGTACAAACTTCCTTCCTTGATGAATTGCACGTCGGTCAAATCGTACAGGTGCAGATCTTCACTGAGAAACGAAGGCGGGACAACTCAGACAACATTACAGTGGTGACAGAATTTCACTTACACGGCGCGTGCCTCTTCTATCCACAGCAGGGCCTGGAAACCAGATGTGTGATTGGCTTTGGACCACGTCGCAGACGCTTGCATGTAACGCTGAATAACGTAGCCGATCACCGCTTCGGCGGGTCGAGTCTTGATCATGTTGGCGAGATCGTCGGGAATATTCGCTCGCGTGAGCTTCTTGACCCAAGCCGTGGCCACAAGTGCAGGTGGACGGTCGCCGGAAACCGTAGGTCGACCGTGGTGCCACGGTGCACGTCGGCGACGGACATAGGGGGCAACGGGCTTGAGTGATTGCCGTTCGGTGGCCTCCCCTACGACGGCACGCAGAGTGCGGCATATCAAGACAGAGCGCCCATTCGCGCCCTGGAAGGTGATTTCTAGCCGACCTTGCAACAAACCCCTGTGTTCATATCGGAGGCGGATTGGGATACGCAAAGTCCGACGAGGGGTGACGGTCGTAGTATTCGTGGAAGCCGAGAACCTGAAGGAGCTCCGTCACATTTTGCGTAAGAATAAATATGTAGCGACGTACATCGTTGCGGGTTGTCCCGAGAGAGACACCGCCTCCAATCGCAAACCAGAGATGCTAGACCGCGATGCAGCGACAGTCACGGACAGGTCGACTTGCACCCCACGGCTCGCATCTGCCAGGGATATGACCCCAAAATCCAGCCCTCCATCTGCATGGGAGACAGAGACACCCTGCCTGTCCTGCTCTGAACGTTCAAAAGTGGAACGTAGCAGTGCGTGCTCCTGGCGACGCTTGTGTGCAGCCAGAGCGAGATGCCAACCCCATCGGTTGCTGGGGACGGCTTCTCTACAGAGCCTGCACTCTTTGAAGTGTGTGGGGGGAGGTGGCGACGGACGAACCTCATCAGGCGCTAGACCGTTCGCAGCAGATTTCCGAGAGTGCGGTCCGCCGAGGATGTGCCCCGCCCAGGTGGTGGGGCCTTGAACCTGGATGTCGCACACAGCGCAATGCATCCATGAATCCGGTACACCACTGGCTGCCGATGCGACCTTTCTGCGGTGACCTTGTCCGCCGACGTGGGCAGCATACATAGATGGCGTAAAGCATATAGCACCGCATAAGTCGCAAAATCTAGCGGCATGATACTGCGCGCGTGGGCAGTTAGGCACAGAGCAGCCGTCTCCGAAGAGAGTATCTTGGCACAGCTTGGATAAATCGAGAGGCATTCAAGGTTGTGAGAGGGAGAAAAGAACAAGGTTGTGAGGCTGAACTCTATGGCAAATTTAAGTATCCTATGGAGCAGCCCACGAGGCAGAAGTTTCTACGTAGGCTCTGGTCAGCAATATGAGAGTCTAGTCCGCTGAACACTTACCGCAGCACACCGATGCCGTGACCGGCGCCAAGCTTGCAACCTCCAATTATCGGCGCGGAGTCTTTCGTACCATGATTAGTATGTGACGTGCCTCAGATTAACACTTATTCTCCGCGTAGCTCCCAGCGCTGCGCCGCCGCCATTGACATTCACAGCGACCGTGTTAGGCCCGTGCTCACCATTTGTTGTCCCGAACCTCGAATGAACCTGGAGCAGAAGGACGTGCCCAATAGCGGAGACAGATGAGTCTATCGAGGTATATGTAGTAGGCCTTCAATAAGAGCCTCGTTGAGACAATATGCCATCCAGGGAACCCAGCAAGGGGAAGGGGTCGGACACGTCGAGGCGCACTTTACTTACCGCCGCAACTCACTCCCTTACTCCGCTTTCCACGTGATGTTCCCGACCGCCGGTTTAGACGCCGCCTCTGTAACGGCGACTCGCTGATGTCACCTTCCCTTGCCCATGATTCACCTTCTACCTCAAGTAATCGAAAGCCTTCGGCGTGTCTCTAAGTGGATAAAATATTCTAAGTCGACCTCTGTGGTGATGTGTCAAAATTGTAGCCCTCCTGTGCCGAATGTGTTCAATATTACTGTTGCGAAGTGCCCTGCCAGATGACTACAGTCTACTCTGCACTTGCATCACTAGTACTCCTTTAGTCTGAAATTCACTCACTGGTTCCGATAAGCTCCCCATCTGTGTCACTGTCACGTATTTGGATGGAAAGCAGCCCAATACCGAGGGTGCCTGGGTCATACATACTGCTTGAAGGAATGGTGAAGGTTCGAACATTCGGGCTTGGATCGTACCTGCAGCAGTACTAGTCCCCTGGCATAGCTATTTGCTTAACTGAGCAGCCGAAAATGCATATTTTTGGGTGTGCGTTGATGACGAGGCTCGATTACCTGGAGATCGTATGGAGACTATGTGGTTGACAGACTCGGACAGCACACTGCGGGATAAACAAGCGGCCCAGGAATTCGGTATGATACTTGTTGACAGGCTGCATGGAAGCATGTACGCCATGCTGAGAGAGAGGCTTACCTCGGATCAAGGAGTTAAGGCGATATCGCCGGAATAGGATAGAGTCAAGGGTGCCTGGATGGGAACTAGCCACATATCCCTCCACATAGCTGAACTGTATTGCAGATAACACGCATGGTGGTGCCAATGCTCCGTCGAGTTCGCTAGTTATTGTCCCCATCGAAATCCTCTCCCCCATGTGGGGCGAACATAGGAAGTGTTTCTAAGGCTAGGGTCGTCGCAACTGTGAACTCGCCAGCTCGAGAATCCTCTGCGGCGGCCGCCGCTTTTTTCAGGTTGAGTAGCACGCGAGTGCACAGTGCACTGTGCGCAGTTCGCAGGAACCTAGATAGGAATATGAGCAAAGAGTGGGTATGAGTAGCCGCTAGACCAAGTGGACTTACTGCTGCATGGAGAAGTTGAGCTCCCTCTACATGGGAGGGTATCAGTGAGACGTCAGCGATTGCTTACTGCTGTTCGCTAGTAGATGCACTGACTGGGGCGAGGAACATTACGAGCAAATTAGCGATAGAGAACACTAAGCCACGATATCAGACGTGTCAGCAGCATACTGAAGCACTGAGCTATGAATGCCTACCCAGAACGATTGCCCAAAACCAGGTTCCTGTCGCAAAGACGCAATGAGCATGTCGCCACTGCTCAAGTCAAAATAGAGACTTACCGTCTCGGTAGATCGTATAGAGTAGAATGCTCGAATATGATCTGGTGTCAGCTGAATCAAAGGATATATTGAGGACAAGCGAATGAGCAGGACACCGTGGCATACCGAATGTCACAGGGTCTACATAGCGTTTGAGCAATGTCAGCAAGATGACCACTGCAGCGGCCGATCTATCAGCTTTACCACCCGAGTCGCATCATGCAGTCCAGACATACTAAGTTCTCCACACATCAAGTACACGAACGCCGGCCAGCAACCAAGATCGTCAATAGCAACCATACAGCCGAACACGTGAACAATTGGTCCCTTGACGGAAACTGTAATTCTGTGTCAGGCTCGAAACCGGCAGAGGTAGGGTAGACATACATGATTCCAAGTTGGAACGGAGCATATCGTACGCAACATAGAAGGAATGTGGCTGTAAATATGACAAGTTCAATTGTGAAGGCACCACACTAGGACAAGAGACGGATGCACTCACAATCATGATGCTGACCCCGAAGAGAACAAAGTAAATAATAGCCCTCTCGCAATGCCAGAGGGCGTATGTTCGAGCGATGAGAATGACTACCATAGCTTTCATTAGCTCTCCACATGGGACTCCGTCTCCAACACTCACATTCCGAGCACAGTGTGCCAATGATGAACCAGTCTATCTGGCTATGTCAACGTATGAACGTCCTAGTCATATGCATTCACTTACATGTCAGTAGTTGAAACCGCAATGCGCATGCCTGACATTTCTGTGATCAGTGGACAGCAATACAACGAACCTAAGGAACCAACACTGGCATCACGGGACACTATATCCACTGAGCAGCTTTCAGCCAAATGGATTCAACGTGAGGCATATGCAACGCACCTACATCAGCAAAACGTCATGGTCTTAGATCTGGTCTTGAGGTACTTGGCCAAGTACCATAAGACCACCAAGACCACCAAGTACTCCAAGACCAATGGTGTTCGCCAAGACCATTGGTCTTGGCCAAGCCGGGTGGGTGGTCTTGGCCAAGACCATTGGTCTTGGTCAAGACCATCAAGACCATTCTAAGACCACTTCAAGATCATTTCAAGACCACTCCAAGACCACCCTAAGACCATCTCAAGACCAGTGCAAGACCAGCCTAAGACCAGCTCAAGACCAGCTTAAGACCAGCAAGGTGACATTCACAATACATTCACACAGCATATCATATAGGTCACCATACTGATGGTTTATTGGACCACTATTGATAGGCAAAAGATTACAGTCCATTATATTAGGCAAGTGTATATAGGTATCCGCCATAGTATAGACAAGGAGACTTAAAAATGAGTAGAAAGAGAGACTGTGCCAGGGCATAAGATTAGTGAGAGACATGCCCATAGGCTACATGATAATAGTAGGGACTAAGAGTAGAAATCACTAAACCTGCATGAGTCATAGAGCAATACTAGTAAAGACCTATAACTTACATGACAACTTGTGGGTATAGAACTGTGCACTATAAGAAGGCACATCAGCATGTGTCTAGTTTGCATTAAGAACATGCAAACCTAGTCTGATTCAGCATAGTCTGGAGCAGTGTCCTCCTGGACACCATCTCTAGGCTGTGCCTTGACCACCTGCCGACGGTCAGAGCACAGAGAACGACAATGGTCTATGATGCGGAAAATGCGCTCATCGTCCAAAGTAGAAGCACGCTTGAACAAAGACTCCACTTTGTTCTCCTGGAACAGAACACCATTCTGCTTGATGACCTTATCGCCCCAGTTCTCAGCCGAAAACTGACCCTCTGCACCACGCGCAGTGCGGAGGTCACCTGTGAGCCAGGCATGGAGAGCAAACTCAACCTAGATGAACCACAAGTGAATATAACATCAATGACATGTAATCAAACGTACCGCAAGAGCCGCCATAATGAGCGCTCCGATCGGAA